CTACTACTACTACTACGACCTACTACTACTACTACGACCTACTACTACTACTACTACTGCCACTACTGCTACTACTACTACCACTACAACTACCACTAGCGCCAGAACCACCAGAGCCACCACCACCACCACACTGCGACTGCTGCTACTACTACAACCACCACTGCCACCACTACTATACAACCACGACTACCACGACGACTACTCCATGACTGCTCCTACTACTACTACGACTACAATGACTTTCGACTCGCAGCCGTGAGCGGACCACGTCCGTCTGTCGATCGATCGTTCGATGGTGCCTTTAGATTTCAGTATGCGTTCCTTTCTGTTTTCTTTCGTCTCCCTAGCTTTCCTCCTTCTTGTGGGCGCTCTGTCCGCCAGCGCTTGTTTCGTCTCTCACTAGCTCAAGGCTGCAGAAAAAGGGGTTGGGACTGCTTCTTCGTCGTGGTCCCACATGTGTGGCGTCTATGGACATGCGCATCTTCTTGCTTCCGAGCGTTGGGCTTCGTTCAGGTTTGCGCGAGGGGGGATCCTTGGAGGACGGGGGCGTCCTTCGAAAAAAAAGAGACGACATGACGCGCGCCTTGTGCTGTCGGAGCCAGCCCTTCACGCACTTCACCCAGGTCTGGTGCGACCCCAGCGCCATCAGGCCAGTGCGCACGAGGGGCGGCCTTCTCGCACACCGAGCCGGCCCTCTAGCGGAGGAACGTGCGCGCCAGTGCCAGTTTGTAGAACTGGCCTAGGGCGTCGTCCGGCTTGTGCTCCTCGCCGAGAAGCTCGGCCTTAGCGCCATCCGCACGAAACTAATTCACCGTGTCTGGGAATTTGTGCTCCGTCTGAGATTGCGACCACTTCTCGCCGAAGCTTTGCTTCCCTTGGGGCTTGCAGCACCACTCTGGACCAACGCCAGCTGCTTCTGCGCTTTATCTCGCGCTTTGTCTGCTTCCCCGCTTGGCGTGCTCCAGACTTCCTTCGGGCGCCTGGCCGTTGCGCGGCTCGCTGCTTCCGATTCCCCGAACTTGCTCTGTTGTTCTTGACGTTCCCTGTCTTCGGTCACGGCGTGCAGTTCTCCGATTCTTCCCCGAGCCTCTCGCTCCGCCTGGATTTCGCTTGCCGTGCCTGACAAGGCACACGCCCGGCCGACCCCTCACAAACCAAAGCCCGGAGATGGTCGGTAGCGGGGGAAACACGACTGTGTCTTGGCGCTCTCCCTTTTCCCCACCACAAACTCAACGCATTTTTTCCCGAATGCATAGCGAAGGGTTCTCTTTTAACTCTTGGGGGTCTGGGGGTAGAGCCTTGTTCGCGATCCGTTGTTTCTACGTCCGCAACCGTCCGCAACCGTCCGCAACCGTTCGCAACTGTTCGCAACCGTCCGCAACCGTTCGCGGTAGAGCGCTCAGGCGCTGCCATTGGGGGAAGCTTTTGCAAGTGACTATTCATGGATGTGTCACGTGTTAGTTTGCGCCGCTATTCTATTGTGATTTTTGCATGAAAAAGACATGTCGCGCAAGCAACGTGATGCGTTTCGCTGCACAGGCGCAGCGTTTGGTGAGATCTGCAGATTGCTGCGCAGTTCCATTGGGATTAGCGTTTGGAGAGTCGTGTTTTTGGGGTGTTGGATGTGGCCGTGCCATTGGGATTTGCATTTCAGGGTGTGGCATCGAAGCTCGGTTTTCGTGACAAGTCTCAGCTGAAATGGCGACTTTGGTGGATGGGAGTGTGCTCAGGACGGGTCGAAATCATTCCAAACGTGTAGTGTGGTGCAAATTTGGTTGAAGCTCACATGAGAGGATATTGTCACTTTTCGTGGCCGGCGCAGGACTTTGTGCGGGTTTTGAGGCGTGGAAGTGCGATTCTCGTGGCAGGCGCAGGGAATCGTGAGGTTGCGAGTGTGACGGAGGTGACATTTCGTGGCAGGCGCAATACTTTGTGCGCGTTAGACGTGTCGACGCGGAAAGATTCGTGGCAGGTGCAGGGAATCGTGAGGTTGTGAGTTGTGGTAGAGGTGAATGTCGCTGTCACATTGGGATTGGCGTGTGAGCGGATGTTGCTTGGAGGGGCTGGAATCGCGAAACTGCTTGGCAGGGCTGCGTGATGTGTGTGCTCCGATGGGTGCTTCCGCTTGACTTTTGGAGGAAGTCTCGTGCGAAACGCTCGTTTTGCAGACTTTGACGTGTGAGTTTTTGAGGACGTCTCGTGCGAAACGCTCGTTTTGGAGACTTGACGTGTGACTTTTTGAGGCAGTCTCGTACGAAATGCTCGTTTTGGAGACTTGACGTGTGACTTTTGGAGGAAGTCTCGTACGAGATGCTTGTTTTGAGACTTGACGTGTGACTTTTGGAGGACGTCTCGCACGAAATGCTCGTTTTTGAGACTTGACGCGTAACTTTTGGAGGAAGTCTCGTGCGAAACGCTCGTCTTGCAGCCTCGCAGCATGACTTTTGGAGGAAGTCTCGTACGAAGAGTGTGCCCTACAAGAGTGTCCCACAAGAGTGTCCTACAAGTGTCCGAAGAGTGTGCCCTACAAAAGTGTCCCACAAGAGTGTCCTGCAAAGAGTGTCCCACAAGAGTGCCCTACAAGAGTATCCCACAAGAGTTTCCTACAAGAGTGTCCCACAAGAGTGTCCCACAAGAGTGTCCCACAAGAGTGTCCCACAAGAGTGTCCCACAAGAGTGCCCCGCATGAGTGTCCCACAAGAGTGTCCCACAAGAGTGTCCCGCAACAGTGTCCCACAAGAGTGTCTCACAAGAGTGTCCCTTAAGAGTCCCACAAGAGTGTCCTATAAGAGTGTCCCACAAGAGTGTCCTATAAGAGTGTCCCGCAAGAGTGTCCCCCACAAGGGGGTTTGACAAGAGTGTCCCACAACAGTGCCCCAAATGAGTGCCCCACAGGAGTGCCCCACAGGAGTGCCCCACAAGAGTGTCCAGGAAACAGTGTCCCACAAGAGTGTCCTACAAGAGTATCCCACAAGAGTTTCCCACAAGAGTGTCCCACAAGAGTGTCCCACAACAGTGCCCCGCAAGAGTGTCCCACAAGAGTGTCCCAAAAGAGTGTCCTACAAGAGTATCCCACAAGAGTTTCCTGCAAGAGTGTCCCACTAGAGTGTCCGACAAGAGTGCCCCTACAAGAGTGTTCTAGAAGAGTGTCCTACAGGACAGTCCCACAAGAGTGTCCTACTGAGTATCCCACAAGAGTTTCCTACAAGAGTGTCCCAC